TTAAAAAAACTTAGTAAGATAAAATCTTAATTAGGAAAAAGAAAAGCACAATATGTATTTATTCTCTATAAAAAAACAATATGCATTTATTCTCCGTTGAGCTAACATTACATATGATTTGGAAATCTTAAAAAGAATGAATAATATTTTTTTCCCTTTAAAAAAGAAGGTTGAACTAAAATGAGACGTTCAAACCCTAAAAAGCTTAATGCCAGCTTAACAATATATTCTGAAATTTTAATAACTACAAGTAGACCATGTTCTTCCACAGGGGATCTTATTATTATATTCCAATCAAGAGGGGAAACATCCTCGTTTGTAAAGATGGCAACAAAATAAGTAAATGTTTCTTTTGCATGTTCCAAATTGATTAATATTATTTTTAAGACAGTTTTGCATGGGGTCGTGGAAAATATATTTTGAACATCAAATGGAATTATATTTAAATATATATATATATGATTATAAAATAATAAAAGATAAAATACATTAAAATATGTTTTGATAAAAATATATTTAAATAATCATTTTTATGAATATATTTTTAAAAATTATAAAATAATCATTAAATTTTTTTTAATAATTATAAAATAATCATCATATAATAAATAAATAAATATAATATGAATTACTTTTAAGATCTAATAAATGATTAAAGTATCATGTGCCACCATATACAATTTGTAATTCCCAGTTGTATAGCAAATACGCCGGCAAAATATGCTTCCCACGTAAAGAATTCCGATTCCTATGAAAATTCCAGGAGGTACCCCGCACGTGAAGGCTTAATTAAAAATTATCGATAAAGGGTATTTGCGTCAATTTAATCAAGCCGTACGATACCACACGTGCATTCCAACTCAAGTTTTAAACATCGATAAAACCGATTTAAGTTTAGATGATTTGCTTAGCCAGCCGTTAATCACATGGAGACCAGCTCACCCGGTCTAATTGTCCCAAATGTCGGACCCACTACAATACGAGAATAATGTTAAAAAAAATAAAGGAACGTGAGATCGACGGGTGGGATCTACTTTTTCTGATCATCCGACGGGTGGGAAAATAATGAGGGAAATGATTTAGGTTTGACCGTTAACTGGAAATCCAGCAAATGACGGGAAATACACGTGTGGGTGAAACGAGATACACGTCTGCTTTTACTGTCCGTCGTAGCATGAAAATTCGTGCGCCACGTGAAATGCACATGAGTGGTAATAATGGAGGCGCACGCAACTCTTTCTTAGAAAGCGCGACCGACAACCGGGGTTAATATACTATAATAATCTTCTTTTCCATTATCATCTTATATAGTAAAGAGAAATAAATATTAAGCGTACGTTTATTTAACTGGAAATATTTTTAAAAAAATATTTTTTGAAAAATGAATTATATCTTATGAAAATATTTTTTAGAAAGTGTAATATTTTCAGAAAATATTTTACGATATTTGGAATATGTTGTTTATATCTTTTTTTATTAGTTAATGAATTTTTTAAAATTTATTTATTTCAAATATTAAATACAATAAATAATATTTTTATCATAAAATTTAATATTATTATTTTTAAAATATTAAAAATAATTTATTTATTATTAAAATATTATTTTTATATTTTTATTAATAAAAATATTAATATTGGTATATTTTATTGAAATAAAAATATTATAAATTATATTAATTATTTATTAAAGTAATAGTGTTATATTATATTTTAAAAATATTAATTAGTATATTTTAAATATATTTATTAAAATATTATTAGATTATTATATTAATATTAAATATATAAATAATATTATTCATTAGCAATAATTTAATAATATTATTTCTATGAAATTAATAAATAATATAAGTTTTATTAATAGTTTATTATATATTATTAAAATAAAAATATAATATCTTATATTATTATAATATAATTGATTATTTTTTATAATATTAAAAATATAATATTATATTAGAAATATTAATAAAAATATTTTAAATATTTTAATAATTATTATTTTGATTAAAATGATATTAAAATATTTTATTAATATTAAATTCATAAAATAAAATTATTTTGAGTATTTATTATTTGAAATGAAAAGTTCGAAAATGACTTACGGAAAATCAGACCGTAAGTCATTTTCCAAAAAAACACAAAAGAAATTATATTGACCAGGAAAATATTTTACATTGACCAACCAGTTTTCATCTGACCAAATACTAAAAAATGAGAAAAATATTTTCCGAAAAATGTTTTACGCAAAACAAACCTAAATTTCAATTTGAATTAATAATTAGGTCAAAACAACATCTAACTATGGTTAGCGATAATGATTAATTATTATCTAAGCAAAGCTGCATATCCTTCAAAATTGTACTCACTAAATCTTGTATTCGATTCAATTAGTGATAACACGTTATTGTTAAGTTCTATAACGATTCTTCTAATCACGAAACTACAAACTAAATTAAACTATTCCTTTAAAAACGTTGTCTGAGTAGTAGTACAATAATTGTGAAAGATCATGCTTTAATTATATGTAACAATTTATTGGGAAGATTACGAGCTACATTAACATTATTAAAACACACTTGCACGTGAGGGTAACCAACAAACATGTTTCATGATTATGGGTTTGATTCCTGAATTTACGCTTTGACCGGAGAATTCAATTCATTTCATTTTTATATTTAAGACAGTAATATGATTGCAACCCTAAATAAATAAATGTTTCTATCTTTTAAATACTCCATTAAGATAATAAGATTAAAATTTATTAAATGATTTTAGTGATTGATGAGAGTATTATTTTTGTTAGAAGTTTGTGATTTAAGTAATCTTGTTTATAGGATATATATGTTTATTGTCAATTAATTAATTTTTTTTGAATAAATATTATATTATAATCATCTCATACTAGTAAAAACAAGATAATAAAATTATGCTTTTTTATATTTTTGAAAGTATAAATTATACTACCCAAGTTATTTATATTTTTCATTTGGAGACGAAACTAGGTTTAAGTATCACGTGGAGTTAACTTATTTAACTTTTAAAAAGTAAATATATAATAAGGATTTAAATTTGAAAAAAAAAGAACAAAACTTAATATATTCAAGTAATAGAGACATAAAGTATCATTTGACAAAAATATTGATAAGAGGAACTCATCTCAAACATTACCTCCCTCACTATATTATTTCGAAAAACAAAAGTACCTAAATTCATCATAAAAGAACATCAAATAAATGATTTATATATATGTTTATTTCTAAGGTTAATTGCATGATTGATCATTTTTATTTATGTTTTATTCACTTTTCTCTATTGATTTAAAAATATAATATATGATCACTTCTATTTTTATTTAATTAAGAGGTAGTCATTGAAAATTAACTGCAATTAGATTTTTAATGAATTATTGATGTGACATAGTATATATATATATAATTAAAATGGATAAGTTAAAAAAATGATCACTAATATTTGAATATATTTTTATTTTTCTACTGAAGTTCTAAAATTAACAAATTGGTAGATACCATTTACGGAGCATGTGGCTACTATTGAACTTGGTGATGCGCGAGTGAACAGAGACACAACAAATGTTAATGAGCTCAAAAAACAAGTTATTTGGTCTACATACTTATCATGATAGTTGGCCAATTTATTAATTTTGAAATTTCAGTGAAAAAACAACAATTTATTCAAACATTAGTCAACATGTGGCATATATAGTTGGTTTCATATGATGTGTAATGCTATATTAAAAAGTAATACGTGTCCATACGTAGAATTAAGTCATTCGTTTTAATTTTTATGCTAACTTTATATTATATGTTAGACGCAAAATCAGTGATATAAATGTGGAGTTTTTCATATGACATTCATCTGATCGATTGTTGGAATGTTTTTAAAATGATATTTGAGTAAAGAATCACATATAAACATATATGCCATTTTTAGCGTGAATATAAGCAAATGAATGGTTTTGGCATTCTAGACCTACAGTTGTGGCTTAGAGCTAAGCCATAGTATGGACAATTATTATGTCTCTTGGTGAAACATTTACATCATTACATGTATAAAAATAAAAGAGATGATGTGTTTATTATTGAAAACAAATTTCTCGAGTGTCATTGATTGCATAGACAGCAATTGGCCTCTTCCCTAAAAACCAGGTTAACTTGTCTGTAAATTTTAAGGTCAAAAAAACAAAAACAAGTGATGACCCCAACCCCATTTCAATAATTAACACAAAAACTACTGCGTTTTAAGCTTTAAAAAAAGTTGGAGTGTATTGTTTCAATCATCACCATCCACTCATGATTCGATTGTTGTTAAAAGCATCGGTTCCCAGCCATATATATAACATGGCCCCCACAGATTGGGGATCAAGGTCGTTGGTCGAGAGGAATGGAGAGTGAGGTGTTCAGGTGGAGTAATGGCCCAATGGTCGGTATTCAGAAGACAAATAATGATATCATATCTTATCGCATTTATTTATTTTTATTTCTCCACATATTTGCACATTTCTATGTTATTTGATTTTATATTTAAATTTAAAAAATCAACTCAAACAAATTTATTTTTAGACCGATTATTTCATGAATTATTTTATTATACCAGACGTCAATCAATCTTTTTTTTTTGGCTAATAATTTTAATGTTTTAAAAATTGAACGTAAGATTTAATGATATCTTAAAATAATTTATTCAGAAATAAAGGATGATAGAGAATGTAGAAGGGAGACAAGCTGAGCGGAAGTAGGCATTATTATTATTATTTGATCAGAAAGCAGTAGGCATTATTGTGGCCTCATGACAGCAACTCATTATTCAACCGACTACTCTCTTTCTATATAATCTTCATTTCCTCTTCCAACATATCCATCACTTTTCAACTCATCGTTCAAACTTACCATTCTCTTTCTTCTTCTTTCTATGTAAGCTTCTATACCTCTCCTTACCCATCACTTTTCAACTCCCCCAACTTCCAAATAATTTCCATCTCTAAACTTACTACGCAAGTAAAAGAGTGTTTGGCAAAAGAGAAAAATAAAGATGCTGGGAAAGGAAGATCTGGGTTTGAGTCTTAGCTTGAGTTTCCCTCAGATTAACCACTCTTTACAACTAAATCTTAATGCTAATTCTTGCTTTTCAACTTCTGGATTAACCCATAGCAAACCCTCATGGAACGATTCTTCTTCTCCTTCAGGTTTTTTTCCTGTGTCTCTTGATCTCTTCCACGAAAATTAGTTTTTTTTCTCTCAATATTCATATAAAATCTAAATCCTTTTTCTATATGAAATGTTTTTATTTCATGCAGATCATAACTCGGAGGCTTTTAAGGCCGAGAATGGATCACTTTTTAGAGGAATCGACATGAACATATTGCCATTGACAGTCGTTTGTGAAGAAGCTGGAGTTTCATCTCCCAATAGCACGATATCAAGCGTGAGCGGAAAAAGGAGAGAGAGAGAAAGTAACGGCGATGATCTCGAGATTGAGAAAGCCTATTGTCGTGGCATCAGCGACGACGAAGACGGACACACTTCGAGAAAAAAACTCAGACTTTCTAAAGACCAGTCTGCTATTCTCGAGGAAAGCTTTAAAGAACACAGCACTCTCAATCCAGTAAGTAGCAATTATAAGGGAAAATTTCATATCAAATTTACTGTTTAGTTGCTAAGAATATAACTATTTTCTCAGTGGCGTAACATGAATCATTTGGACTTTGTTTTGGTAATAATACTGAAGAACCGATGGCTTTTACTATATTTGCAGAGGCAAAAGTTAGCATTGGCTAAACAACTGGGGTTACGACCCAGACAAGTTGAAGTGTGGTTTCAAAACAGAAGGGCAAGGTAAGAATTTTCTATCACTTTTTGGGCGCTTAAGTAATTTTCCCTTTTCTGAATATAACGATAAACTACGTGTTTTGCCATCTAACTATTTTTATAGTCTAGTATTCGTCGTCCAACTAATTTTTTTCAAAAAAATCATAATTAATATTAGGTTTTAATTTTTTTTTGATAATCTACCATAATGATCATAAATTAATATTGTATTATCATTTGATATTTTATTAACAGTTATTTTTTCAACAATAAATGATTAAAATGAAATTAAAACGTATAGTTAAGTATAATTTGAAAAAATAAATTGTTAACCAAAATAAAATTATAGGAATAGTTACACTGATTGTAGTAGATATAGATCTAAAATGAAAAGGAAGAGACGGTTATGTCCTTTTTGTTTGACGTGAATTTACTAAACATAGGACTTGGGAATTGTTTTTATGCAGGACCAAGCTGAAGCAAACGGAGGTTGATTGTGAGTTCCTCATGAGATGCTGCGAGAATCTGACGGATGAGAATCGGCGGTTGCAGAAGGAAGTTCAGGAACTGAGAGCACTGAAACTGTCCTCCACGCAGTTCTTCATGCAAATGGCCCCACCGACCACCCTCACCATGTGCACATCATGTGAGAGGGTGGCGGCCCCACGCAACCCACCATCCACCACCGTCGATCTACGATCCCATCATCTCGCCAAAAACCACCACAGGCCCATACCCTTTAGCCGTTGGGCTCCAGCCGCCACGATCGTGGCTCATAGACCGTCCGATGCTCTTCGTCCTCGATCATAATTATGACCTATGTGAAAGGGCATTTTTGTCCAAGAAAATATCATGTGTATTGTTGTGGGTCTTTCGTGTTTTGTATCGTCGGACCCAACCAAGCTTTTGACACATTTAGTTAGTTTAATTTTTTTGGGTGTTAATTAGTGATGCTAATTACATCTTCCTCCTTCAATTCCAGTGGTGGGGGGAAGATACAACTTTGTGTGTAAAGTAAACTGCAAATGTCTAAATACTAAATTTGACAAAGCTTTGAGATTAAAAGTTTAAAGCAAATTCACGTTCCAAATTCCATTTTCAACTTACAAGGATTCTCTTTTCTTGGTTTATTTTCCTTGCATAATTTATAATTTTGGGACAGTTACATTGTATTTAAATTTAAAAATTAAATAAATTAATTTTAAATATTTTATTAAATTAAAATATTACAGTGTTTGAAAAGCTATTCATAAAAGAATAAAAATTTAATTAAGTGAGATGGTTTTAGTTTGATAAAGGACAACTGGTTTTTTCCATCATTTATTAGAAGTTATGGTTAAAACAAAATTTAGCCCTCTTTGATCATAGTTTCGTGGAAAGCGAGCCTTTACTTAATGAATGTTTGCGTACAAGTAGGGCTGTAAAAAGTTGACCCAACTTGTAAAATTGACTGAAATCGACTCAAGTTAAAATTGTTTTTAACCTACGCTGTAGAGATCCGAAACCGATTCGAGTCAGAACTGGTATTTACCTGAATTCGAGTTGGACTTAGAAATTATAGATATGAACCCGACCTGCACCCGACCTGAGAACGACCTAAACCCCAATTGAACCGAAAAAATGATACCCAAACCCGACCTACATCCGACTGATATTAACCCGAACTAGAGATTGACCTAGAAAATAACTGATATTACCCGACCTGTTTTAAACCTGAAACCTGACCTGTAAATGATCCAACTTGTTATTGACCTGATCTGATATTTACCTGACTTGACATTTACCTAACTTATATATTACCATGGACGAAATTATAAGATTTTAATAAAATTATAAGTTTTTGAGTTTATGATATAACTAAAAAATTAATATGATTAATTTTTAAATGTTATAATAAAATATTTATTATGATAATTAAATTACCTATTATATAAAATTATTTAATAAAATTATTTAAATGTAAATTATATAAAACATGATTAATAAAAATATTGGCATTGAACAATGATTAAATGTAAATTAATATAGTTTAATTTATGTAAATTATATAGCTTAATTTATGTAAAGAAAAATAATATTAATAATATAAGTATTTATTATGTAATTTATATTAGCGTTTTACATTATTAATACAAATAATTTTGGCAATGAAATGATATTTAATTTGATAATAAATGAATATTGGTATTGAACGTGATTAATTCTCTAAAATATAAAGATAGACTATACATTTTAATTTTGTAAAGAAAAAATATCTAACAATTATAACATACATAAAACATAATATAAAAGATAAATTTAATTGATAATGATAATTTAAATAACATTTGATATAAAATTTGAATAACATTTGAATTAATTCAAGTTGAATACAATAAAATTAAGAGAGAGAGAAAATAGTGTTTTTTAAGCTCTCATATCTTATAACAAAAATGTTATAAGGCTAAAAGTCTAATTTTGCTACTAGAAATTTATTCATCGAGCTTTTGTATCGGAATAGCTGCCAACATTGCAATAACATGACAAAATAAAAGCCTTTAATTATTCAAGTTAGTTCATACTCATTTTTAATAGTTTTTTATTTCATCAAGTATCTTTGCAAAAGAATCATCACCAATAACAACAATTTTGTCATTTGAAAAATATCCTGAGGTTGTTGATGCAATTTGAAAATTCCAACATTCAATTTTTTCACCACATAAATGTTATCACACATTTTATCTGAGTGGTGACACACACATGTCATTTCATATTATAGTATAAAATATAATAAATAATGTGGGCATAGTATATATATAGTATAGCTTAGGTATTAAATACATTACATCATCTAGTTTCATTTTTTGCATAAGGTAGTGTGCATATTATATAGTTGCATATATTATGTATTATAGTGTATTAAATAATAATTGCATGTTATTAATTCATGTGGTATTGCATGTTATTAATTCATGTTGCATTGCATGTTATTAATTGATGTTACATTAGGTGTTAAATAATTAGTATGTCACATTGCATATTATATGGTTCATAAATAGTAGTACATGTCATATTAATTTCATTTGCATAATTAGTATTTTAGTTGCATGTTAGGTTAATTCACATTAATAGCCCATTTATTTTGTTGTTATGAATAAGTAATAATAAAACCCAAATATAAGTCCATTTGCATTAATGCTAGTTCATTTACATTAGTTTACATAGGTACAATACATAAGCCCACTCTTTTATTACAAATATATATGCATTATTAACAAAAAACAAAAAAAAAGACCCTAATCTAATGTGTGCCATCGATTTTGTGATGTAGGAGGGAAATTTTGGCTTTGATTTTTAAATTCAAACAATGCATTAAATGACTCAACTTTCAAGGGAGCTTACATCACTTATCCATGTCTAAAAGCACAAGCAAATCCCAACCCTTGATAAGCCTTGATCCAAAGGCCATGAAAGCTTTAATACAAGTGAAACAAGCACAAATTGATGAGGACCCTTGGATGGAAATCTTGATCCAATGGCTCCCATGCTGGCATGTCATTGATCCATGGCTAAGAAGCACAAAGCAATCTAAGCCATTGGATCAAAAAATAGATCCAAGGGCCAAGATTGTGTCTTCTCCAAATATTTCAAATTATTTCAATTTCATCCCTATATAATTTATATTAATAAACTATTTATAATTAATAATAATATAAATTATATATTAGAATTAATATTAATATAATTAATATTAATATTAACTTATATTAATAGAATATAGTTTATAATTTGTAATTAATATCAATATAAAATATAGTCTGTAAAATTAATATTAATATAAACTATATTTTATAAATTATATAGTATAATTTATAAACTATAGTTAATATAATTAATATTAATAGAGTATAGTTTATAAACTATATACTATATTAATATAAATTATAGTTAAGAAATTAACATTAATGTAAACTATATAGTCATTAATATAAACTATAGTTTATAAATTATATTCTATAGTTTATAAAGTATAACTATATAGTACACTAATATAAACTATAGTTTATAAATGATATACTATAGTTTATAAAGTATAACTATATAGTACACTAATATAAACTATTTTTTATAAACTATAGGTTACATATATAATTTATATAACATATAAATAGATTGTATATATACATATACTATAAGTTATATATATATAGTTTATATATACTATACATAGTTTATACATACATGTACTATAAGTTATATATATAGTTTACATGTATACATATACTATAGGTTACATATATTAACTATTGTTTATAGACTATAGATTAATGTTACATACATAATTTATATAAACTATTTTTTATATAAATTATATATGAATTATCAACTATGTCTATACATATATAGTTTAGGGTTTAGGGGTTTAAGGTTTCTATAAACTATATACTTTATTACTTTATATTGTTTATGCATAGTGTTTTTATAAACTATATAAGTAATTTACTTTATATAGTTTTTATATATATAGGTTATATATACATACATGTATTATAATTTACATATATAGTTTAGGGGTTAGGGTTTAGGATTTAGGGTTTAGGGTTAAGGATTTAATGTTCATGATTTAAGGTTTAGAGTTTCTATAAACTATATACTTTATTACTTTATATAATTTATGCATAGTGTTTCTATAAACTATATATATATATATATATATATATATATATATATAATATATATAGATTTCTTATATTAATTATACATACATACATACATATATACTATATTAATATAAATTATAATTTATAAACTATATATTTTATATAGTTTATACATATATATATAATATTAATATAAATTATAATTTATAAACTATATACTTTTTATAGTTTATACATATATAGTTTACGTACATAGTTTATATATATAGTTCATATAAACATAATTTATATATATAGCTTATAATAATTATATAGTTTGTAATATAAATATAGTTTATATATAAACTTATATTATATATATATATTTTTTTTCAATTTTTATATGAATGCAATTTACTATATTTTTTATTATTTCTTCACATTTTACATTTATTTCGATTTCATCCTTTTGTGTTTTTTAATTTATTTCAATTTTAAGTCTTTCACTTTTATATGTATTCAATTTAGTCCTTAAATTTATATTTGCATCTTCATTTGGCCCATTATTAGTTGTTATTTATATTTTGTAATTGACTCATGACTTTTTAAATGAGTATAATTTAGTCATTTTATATTAATTTAAACCTCACATTTTAAATTTATTTTGATTTGGTCCCTTACCTATGTGTGTTGTTTAATTTATATTTTAAAATTTTATTTGTAATTTTACATTTCTTCAATTTTATCCTTAAATTTATATTTTTTTACAAAATTGACCCATGATTTTTTTTGTAATTTACTCGAAATCATATATAATTACAACTTGCAATTCAACAATCACGAAAAATGACAAAATAATTAATCCAAAAATAAAAACAACCCGACCTGAACTCAACCCGTATCCGGTAAATATCAGACCTGAATTTTATCTGTCAATGATGTGACCCGATCTGAATGAGATCCGACTGAAGTCCACTTGAACCTGAATTAACATGGTCTTTATCTGCTTCGGACCTAAACTGACATCGATCTAAACTGAAAATAACATGATCTGAACCCGATTTGGATCTGGTGTAAAATCAACCTGAAATGACCCGAACTGATTTGACCTGTACCTAACCTAATCCAAGTCAAACCATCAAATTGACTTGACTTGACATGTACCTAATTTTACCCGACCGACCAAGATCAGAGTGAAACCTGTCCGATTACCTGATTTTACAACCTTACGTACAAGGGATGAAATCGTTATTACAACTGAGGTAAAATGGCACCGTTTGGGATGCGAGTAGGGCGGTAATTTAAATTAGAAAGATGGTAAGTTATTCAAATTGATTTAGTCAAAGTTCAGTTAATTTTTAAATCGAATAGAGTTAATTCGAATTTAAATTTGACTTGAATTTTTAATGAGTTGAAACGAATTACTTGATACATGATTCAAAAAGTAAGTAACTCAAAAAATATGTATTAAATTTTTAGTTTTTTGAATTAAATTATTATTAATATTAATAACATTTATATGTTGTTTTTAAGGTTTAATATAAAATTAAGTGTTCAAGCTATACCACCTTTTTTATATAGGTGTCTAAATGTTTTTGGACAATTCAAGTATCTTATGTTATAAACTTTATCACTTTAAGTACCTTAACCGTAATGATCGTTAAAAAAATCCGTTAAAATACATGTGTCATATTTATATTTTTTAAATAAAAAATTCATTTAAAAATATTCCCACGTTCCTCCCTCTTCCCATTCGAGCACTCGTCACACTGAACAACCCTCATCGTCATCTTTTAATTCAAGATCAGTCGTCGATAGACACGAGGAGTATCTCTGTCCCTTTTCTTATACTTTAAATTTTCGTATTGGGGCAATACGCTTTAAGTGAAGGGGTCAAGTGGGAATTTCACCATGCTTATTCATGTTGGTTTGATGGGATATCTCGATGCTTATGAATTTTTTCTTGTCTTGGTTAACTTGTTAGTTTTGTCATAATCCCTTATTTACAAGCTTGAGTTGATCTTTTTATGCATGAATAATTGATTTGAGTTAACAAAAATGATTTGATGAAAAGCTTTTAACCTTGTGGTATAATTGTTAGCGTTGCTTAAATATGAGCTTGTGCTTGTTTGACTAATGATATTGATGTAATCTTCAAGTGTTTAAATTTTTGAAGCGGTTGTGAGCGCTTAAAGTTGTTTTGCAACTAATGGGCGATTATTGTGGTTAGTCCAATCGAAGACTAAATTTCTAAGATTGACTTGGGAATATTGATTTACCGGAAGTAAAAGTAAGTTACAAGGGTTAAGCCTTGTAGACTATAACAAGCATGAATTCGGAATTAAAATCCCTATTGATGATCGAAATGAATTGAGGAAGAGTGAAGCCTCAGGTTGTTTTTATCCATTTGCTTTTCTTTAAAATTTATTTTATTTACTTTCTTTTAATTCTTGAATTTTCTACCTCTCAATTTTAAGCCCCCTTTATTTTATTTATTTTCTTTTCAGGATCAAAGTAAATCAACGTCAGAAGTTCCAAAGTCCCTGTGGATCGATCATTCTTCTCTTTACAACACTTTATTTTATTTATTTATTTATTTATGAGAATAAGGAATTTTTATTTGACAATTACGACTCTTGTCAATACCTAGTGTTATGACCAATCAGGAGATGATCGACGACATATAGTTAGTCGTTCGTCGATGGATGGGTGGCCGAAGATGAACAACAATTAGAGTAAAGGTGACTAGAATAAGAGATTTTAAGAATTTGTGGTTATTTTTAGATTTTAAAATTGTTTAAGGTTGTTTTAAAAATATTAATTTAATGTTTTAAAAATATTAATTTAATGTTTTAAAAATAAATTATTAAAAAATATAAGGCTTAATTAGAAAATAAGTTCCTAAACTATACTATTTTTTCCAAATTGGTGAATAAACTTTTTTCGATTCATCTAAGTGCCTAACGTTACAAACACTACCATTTTAGTGCATGAGGCATAACTACCATTAAATTCTATCTTTAAAGGACACATGTTCCATTCAGATAATTTTGAAAATTTTATTTAAAATAAAAATTTAAAATTGTATTTTTTTTAAAAAAGCCCTAAAATTTTCAAAATCTTAAAAAATCCTCAAACTTTGAAAACCCTAAATTTAATCCCTATACCAATGCTATCGTCACCCTTTACCATAGTCGTTATCATCGACTAAACCTACCCCTATTGTGCCTCTATTAACGTGATGAACAACCACTAATGGCATGGTTTAAATCAATCGACGACACAACATTTGGGAAAATAATCATGACATTTACGTGATCTGACGATGCAAGCAACAACAAGGATGATGTCAGCAAAAAAGGGAGGCGACGTTGGCAACATCGATAACATCAACTATGGTTGGGATTTGGGGTTTGGGCCAGGGTTTTGTGGTTGATTTTAGGGACTTTCAAAGATTTGAAACTTTTTTTGTAATTTTAGAAAATTAGAGTTTTTTTTTTGTAAATATAATAATATTTTTAAGTTTTTTAATTTAAATAAATTTTTTAAAATTTTATAAAGGTGACACGTGTCTTTTAACAATAGTTACGATCCAGACACCTAAATTGATAATGTTTGTAAAGTTAGGTATTTAGATGAACCGAAAAAAGTTTGGACACCTATTTGAGAAAAAAGGTCTAGGTGTTTAACATCCATTATGGCCGAGACACCTAAAGTGGTAATGTTTGTAATGTTAGGCACATGGATTGACTGAAAAAAAAGTTTAGGCACTTATTTGAGAAAAACGATATAGTATGTGCACTTATTTTTATATTAAGACTGTTGAATTAAGATTTTGATATAAAAATAATTTGCAAAATTGGTTTTGGACTTAATTGAATTTTTCAAAAATAATTCAAAGTCCAAATTAACTTGAAAAATATGTTTTAAATGTTTTCCAACTTAGTCGAACCTTTTCAAAAACATATTCAATTATTTTCGCACTTTAAAGTCGAGTTTCCAAGCATTTTTGGCTCAAAGGATTAATTCCTTAGCAAAAGAATCGATCCCTTTGACCAAATCGATCCCCTTGAAACAAGATCGATCTCAGTCCCTCGATGAAAACGGTTGATCCTTTCACCAAAAGGATCAGTCCCTCGATGAAAAGGATTTATCCCTTCCCTTAAAATGTCGACCCTTTCTTGCAATGGCCAAATTATTTAAACAATGGTCAACCCCTTTCACCAAAGGATTGATCCCTTGTATATTAAATGTTGTTTTTGGTTGTAGGTAATGACTATAATGATCATCATCGGCTCCAAACAGCTAGAGTTGATAGAGAAAGTATAAATTGAAGGTCAAAACATCCCAAGATCAACAAGAATAATATTCATCAAATATACTAATATCAAAAAAGTGTTCTTCCTTCATTCACTTTGTCAACTACATTATTTATTTTGCTCAAGTGTGATTTGGGTGAGTGCTTAAATTGTGCGAACATATTTACCTTGTGATGTTTTCTTAATTGTTTACTTTATTTGTAATTCCTCTTGTGGAGAGAGTCTAAGCAAGGTTTTAGGGTATAAATCCGGTGTGTTGTTGTAAGGTTACACCTTATCCTCAAAGGTTAGCAAATCTAGTGGATTTGAGAAATCCTTAGTATGAATGTTAAGGTAGTTGATGTAGACTTGGTTTAAAAGTCGAACTACTCTAAAATCGTTGTAAAAATCTTTTTATTTTCAGTTGCTTCCACAAATTTTTTAAAAGGCCAATGTACCCCCTCTTGGCATTTTTCGTAAGAGCTAACAAAACCTTTTTTTTAAATATAATATAAGGTTTTTATGTACTTAAGGTTTAAGATTGAGCTTGAGTTTGATATTCAATTGAGCTAAGTTTGAGAATATTTCGAGTTTAAGTTTTTCAAGTTTGAGTCGAATTTCAATTTTTGATTTTTCGAATTGAGATTAAAAGTTTAATCTTGTGGGCTTTTGAGTCGAGTTAAACTTTAGTTTTTTATTTTGGTTCAAGCTGAGCTTAACAGTTTTAATCTCGTGAGTTTTTAAGCGAGCTGAGCTCAATTTTATAATTTTTGAATGGAAACGAACCAAAACTACTCATTTACTGCAGTAGGCGCAAAGGTGTCGAAGACCACAAGTTGATGGATAAAAAGCAAACGGGGATGGGGCTGTGAATAGCACCGATGGTGCTGTTGCAACCAGGGGGCCTTGGCGTACAGTGGGATGATCATGGCCGATGGCTCTATGGTTTTTCCAGGAGCCTTGGCGTTGGTTCAGTCTTACAATCTGAACTTTGGGCTATCCTCAATGTTATCAAACTTACATGGAATATGTATTAGCCAACATCTGATCAACTCACCTATAATTTAATTGAACTATCCTTGAAATATATAGACATCAACTTAGATTGAAGTAAATAACCTACACAATATTTGTATACCCATCACCTTAGATTCATTAATGCTATTAAAGTAATGATAGAAGCAGAAGATTATTTTTTTTATAAAAAGAAGCAAAAGTGTAAAAACTGTAAAGCTCGATGTGTGTTCAAGTAGAGTTTCTCTTAAACTGGACACTTGATCGCTTAATAGAATCGATCCTCTGCAGCCTGATTTGCTCTCTTACTTTGGCTATGAACTCGTCTGCCTTCTTATCCACATCGGAACCCCCATCATTTCCACTGCTTGGATTTGCTTCCTCCTTGTTTGGGCTCCTTTCGATGCTTGAAACGATGGGAGTTTCACCAGCTCCATCGTCCTCACTCTCCGAATCATCGTCACTAGTAGTTTCGACCATCACCTTTTCAAAGGAAACCTCATTACGAGTCGAGGAAGAAACAGGTTTCAATGACGGTGGTTTTTGAGTCATCGGTGGTGGCGGAGGAGATAGGGACGACTTCGGCGAAAATTGAGGCGGCGAATGGGGCAACTTTGGTGAAGCAGACATGGAATTGGACCGAGACAAACGCATGCTTTGGGACCTAAATGACCCAAATTCATTATCTTCTTTCATTTCCTTTCTTCCGGATCTTGAACGCCATGGAATTGGTGAAGGAAGAACAACATTATTATTCTCACTCCATTCGTACCTTTTGGAACTCAACTTAGAATTAGACCTCCTAAGAGGGTTAGAATTTGCACGACTTCCCCTACTTGTCTCGTTCAAAGCACGCGATTTCAAGCTCCTAACAGGCAAAAGCAAAGGCTTTTCAGGGTTTCCAGGACTAGAACTTGTGTTTTCATCAACAACACTGCGTTCTTTAGCTACAATAACATGAGGTTCGTTCCTATAGTAAAGGCTACTCCAGGTCTGGACCTTGATATCATCAGACCCAGATAAGTTTTCAGCTTCTTCATCGAAAACAGATGAAACCTGAAGGAATCTGGATATCAAAGACTGTACGTCTTCAAACTTGGATTGATTGTTATAATTTTCCTTCTCTGTTTCATCGGTTCGTCGGCTAAAAAGGCCGTAAGAGACTGCTATGCCAACGAATAGAAGGTGAAGAAGCTCCCAGTTTCTATTGAGGAGGGTTTGGTTGATGAACTCGGGCGCTTGTGAGGGCAAAACTTGGATTACAACCCAGAAAACGAAGACCAGGAGGGCTTTGTAGAGGAAAGGTGTATAATACTTACTCGGGTTTGCTTGGTTTTGTTCTTTTACTGGTAACTGGTGTTTTCTGTAGGAGTTTACATCTTCCATTGAAGAAGAGGGGAAAAAAAAAAAAGAGTCAGGGAGCGAAAGAAAGGTTGTTTTGGTTTGTTTGTGGGAGAAGAAAGCATATTTGAAGGTAAGCATTGGTTAATGTTGGTGCTTACTTTTTAGCCTTTTTGATGACTCAGATATTCTTGGGGTCCTTGCTTTTAAGGTAAGGGAAATCAAGTTGCCTCACGTATCATCCATTGCAATGAGATTTTACAGGCAGCGATGGTGAGACGACCCTACTACTGTGGTTACCTAAAATTTTTAAATTTTAATATTTTTATTCTTTTTATATTTATTATTAATTAAATTCTATTTTTTAAAATATTTAAAATATTTTTTCCTATATATTATAAATTCATCTTCTAATATAAAATTAGGTTTCCGTCCTATTTAACGAGTCTACTGGTATTAGAAAAAAGCAATCCAGGATCTTCACATCATGATATATGCTTTTGTTTCCGACATTTTGGAGGCAAAAAGCTAAAAGAAGTTTGCATGTTGAGTCATCTAGTTGGACCTGCAATCTGCAATATTTGATAAACATATCCTTGCCTTTTCTTTTCACTTTATTATATCAGCATTAAGGCAAAAAAGCTGTTCCAGAAAAAACTTCCTCAGCTTAGCTCTGATATATATTTGTGGTGGGAATTGCTCCTACCGGAGAAAAGAAGAATCTGAGTGGGGGATTAGGGGCAAATAGGTTGCGTCTAGCTAGCCAGGATTCTTCTCTGGACTGAGTACGCTAACTTCCTCTTTGGTGAAATTACCTATCAGATCTCTCTATTATGAGGACCTATTCAAATTACTCCCTCTACTACTAAATAGATAAAAGTTTTCTTTGACAGAATTCAGTTGATATATATGAATTTAGTTCTACAATTATATCCGCAACTATTAGACGGATGAATTGACTCAAATGTAGTATATGTTCAGAATCTTTCATGATCATTAACAATAAATATACACTTTACAAACACACTTGCTCGAACTTGAGACTTATGGAGAGAACAACAACCATTTTTATCACTAAAGTCACGTAATAAATTCGTTTGAATATATTTTAAATTAAAAGAAAAGTCCGAATCTAGTCATTTCTTCATCAGCATACTTGGAAATACTCAAAATACCTTTCCTAGGAGCAGGAGCAGCCCATGTGAAGAGAGTGTGAAAGTGGTGCCCAATTCCATGCAAGGTTTAATTAAAGATTGAAGATAATGATAAATCCTGATTAACTGAACAAGCTTGATAAGGTATCGTGCTTTTCTACAATTTGGGTCGGAAAGTTAAAAACTTTGGACAATGGATCTGATTCCTTCACAACCAATCCATTCAAATTCTTTCACTCTCACTACCGATCAAAGCTTGAAACAACTTTTTTGGCCTTCCTCAATTATTATAATCCTTAAACTTTTACTTTCTTTTTTAATCTCAGAATTTTTACTTTTCGTTAAATTAACCCGAACATGACGAAATAATTCGTTTTTAGATATTATTGAAGCTCACAAATGTTATCGTTATAAAAAAAATGTTAAAGAAATGAATGTTGAATCTGCCATGGAAGCCTAGAAGGGAAAATAAATCATAGTAGCTGGAACCATTCATATCTCTACAAATATGAATTCGTATCGTATTCTGGTGCTAGCAGACTGTGTATGTATTCATAATAAACGCAGTTGAAGGCACCGTTAGGTTTTTCAGTTTTAATTTCAACGTTATTGTACATGATCTTTAATGAATTCATAATTCAGTTCACACAATACTGTGTAAATAAAAAAATTTAAGGATATGGCTTAATCTTCCGCAAGTCCAAGCAATTCCTTAATGAAGCTTTGGGGCCCAACGGTAGGATGATGATCCATTGAGTACGAGTTTGGATGACGCTTTTTCCTGCAACAAAACCACTACTTGCTTTCTATCACGGGCTTACCATGACCTTGCGATGAGATCCCTGAACTTCGACATAACTACTCCGAATGCTAGTCGCCGGAGATTCTGAGATGACCTCCGGAGACGTTAATGTAGTGAACCTTTCCTGCATCAGCGAAGGTTTTTAAACCAATCCAGGCCTCCTCGTAAAGCTTTATTTGCATAGATATTGACGTGAAATTATGTGAAGCATAATACTAAACTAGAAACTGAGGGTTATTTTAGGGGAACCAAGTTGAACTTTTAAAATTCTTGAGGTACGAACTTGAATTTGTAAAATTTCAGAGGCGAAAATAGATTTTTAATAGAAAATTCGTAGAAAAAATCTAAAATATATAGTAATTTTAAATTTTCAAGTACCATCCTCGGTTCATCCCTGTTGCCACAATTTGTTGCTATCCTAGATAAGTATCAGGTCATAATTCGAATTCATACATCAACAAGATATAATTCAGTTTCAATCATAACTGAAAAAAATGAACTTTTGCATGGAAAAATACCGTACATCTTGAGGCCGAATGACCGGCTTGAATGCCCCATCTGGGTAAAATCCGAACCACTAGGTTTCCTTTGGTATCGAAACAGTGTCATGCTCAAACTGTTTGAGTTGAAGATGAGCTGGATTAACCGATAAATTTGCAGAGTTTAACATTATCCGTAACCCGTGGAACTTCAGCAATGAACTTGCATTCGTCAAAGTAATAAATCCAAACTCGTTTATATCTTTTTACTTCGCAAACGTCTTAGTAAAATTCATCATTCAAATTGTAAGCATCTTCAGATGAGCTCAATTTGAATGAGAAAGGCAAATTGGTAAGAGTCAAAGGATGCTGGATATGGTTTTCATGATCCGCAGTTTTGGGTATTGAAGGATGGCATTGAAGATGCATGTTGAAGTTGCACGGAGAGCCGATGTTTTTGTAACAAATGTGACAGACATGGTTGCTGGAGTTGTTGAAGAGAGTGAAAAGGTGACTATGAGCGTGATATTTAATGAAGGGTATGCGGCTAACGCACTTGGTATGGAGGTTAAAATCGCAGTTCGAACATCGGTAGACTAGAAGAAGTGCGTGAGAGTACTTCTTGGACCATGCACAGCACAGCAGGGGGTGGTGTCCTTTTGAGGAGGGAATGAGAGCTTGAGAGGGTGTTTGGTGTGCAAGAATTGTGAATCTTCCGTGCTTGAAGGCTAACTCAATGGGTGTAGCCCTCAAATGGATGTCGGAGTTGTGGTGAGCCAGTTCTCACGTGCTTTGCATCAAACCTGACTAAGAATGGAATCCTTGGCCACTTCTAGAAGTAACTTTAACGGACGTGGATGGGTGAAATGCTGAATCTCCTTGGCATTTTTGGAGTTTGCTGTAGGAAGGCACAATTGCCATCCAAATAGATTTTACACTTTTCTCAAAGAAAGAGAAGCCTAGGCATTCTTTGTCATCCAAATAGATTTTACACTTTTCTCAATAGAAAGAGAAGCCTAGGCATTCTTCGTCGCATCCACGACAACAACAGTGAGCACTTGTTGCAATTGATAAAACGACTGGTTGATCTGTCATGGAGCTTCCATTGTGCATGATTTATGGCCATAAAAGTTGCACTTCTCTCAAATATAAGCAGGATCAGATCGAAGTTCCCTACATACATCACAGCAACTACTTGTAACATCTTCATTGTGACTATCAGAAAGCTTCAACGGATGCCTATGGTTGAAATTATAAATCATATAGGCACCTGGAGATGTCAGGGTCGGAAGCAGCGCACATTTTGCATCTAATCTGAAATGATATCTTTCATAGCCAAACATCAAGCTCAAGAGAGACTTATGATCATCGCAACCGGCACACACATACATGTATGTGAACAACATAAGTGGGTATGGGCAGAAGAAATGATTGGCCTTTGGTGGAATGGTCGCCATGCAAGTGTTATGGAGGAAGGAAACAGTTGCTGAATCGGCGACCATAAACTGAATCATAGCAGAGGTTTTCACATATGGCAACAGCAAACCCTATCTACCAAGTTTATATCAACAGGTTTCAACGGATGCTGATGAGTGAGATGTAGAATGGCTAGGTCATCCTCAGCATCTTCAGACTCTATGGGAGGCTTGAGGCATAATACACATGCATTTGGAAATTACATTTGTATTTACAAATGTCGCGGAGGCCATTGCCCCGATCGAAACAACCATAACAGTATGAAGATTTCTGCAATGCAAAGCAATGCAGATTCATGCATTCATGACAACAACAAAAAATTCCAACTTTCATCTTCGATTAACATCGAAGCATATAAATGGAAAAAAGCCAGAACACAATATTTTTCTGAAAAAAAAGATGAAGGAAAGACATCTAATGGTACAGAATCTGATCACCCATGTTTTAAGGGTTATATGGTAACAAATCTAGACCTTCATGCGATAGCGAAGGAGATATTTAAGCCTGGCCGACTTTTTTAGAATAAAAATGAAGTGCATAGCGTCATCACTATACCTTGAAGATATCTGAATCCGACAGTCTTTCTTGCATTTGGGAACATATGCTAGAAGAACTAATAATGACCCACACGAAAGAAACGATTACAGTCCGGAGGAAATCATAGTTCTCTGGTAAGCCTCCCTGTCTTTTCTCTGATAAATGCAACATCAGTATCTGGTATAGTCAGCAGATGATGATTCGAATTGTCTTCCTCGCTCTCTGCTGTTATAGATGTTGCAGCAGAATCTAATATCTCATCATCTGCATCAGAAAAATTATCTTGTTAAAAAGTTATATACTAAAAAGGAAATCCCAACCAAAAACGAAAATTCAAACATAAGCATGCATATAACGACCGATGACTTATCCCATTCCAAATATAACAATACTGCGCATAATTGTTACAGCTCAAGTTAGCAGAACATCTCCATTGTTTTCAGGATCAGAAACTATTTGCAAATGCATTGTCAGAACAAGCTTATGAACCATTTGGATGACAGAAATAAGTTCATTTATTACATCAGTAAGGATTAATAAGCATAAATTTCCAAATGAAAACAATAAGTTAGAGACACGGTGACCAGAAGAAGTTTACCAGAATATGCACGATGATCAGGAAGATGTCGAACTGCATTAACCTGAATGTTTTCCGGAAGCAGACAGTTACAAAATGAACCTGAAACTTCAAAAATTTAATTGATCAGATCAATTAATTGCGTGGTGTGCTGGACCACGCAAACCGTGGTTACATAACGTAGAAGTCTTAGAGCTTCAAATAATGATACGAACGATCCAACTTCCAAGCTGGGCAATTAGGAGCTATAGTTAAGGCAATTATCTAACAACATATGCTTTTATAACTATGCTGTCTGAATATGCAAATTTACCACACTAGAAGCCACCTTGTAAAATAATCACATCTTCTCGGATGACAAGAACAAGAAAACAGGCAGTTTTCTCACCTAGTCTAGCCAGCCTGTTTACCCACCCAGGAATACGTTTTCCAGTGAGTTGCAGGCACACTTCATCAGTGAAATGGTTGCAATTCTTAGCAATCAAATGATACGTGTCCCCATGGTATTTTTGCGAAAGCTGTTCCATAAATAACTGAAATTCTGAACAAGACATGTTAGTGCTGCCCAATAATACTGATCGTCTGAAGATGAAACCAGGACAACTTCTTGGTTCCACCTCAAACACTCCACTTGTAGGGTACTCATGTGCTCCAAAGCCATACTCCAAACCATATACTGATTAGCAAATAAGACATGAAACGTTAATGACAAAAAGGTTTAGAAAATAAAACAGCAGTGAAAAGAAAACAAAGACTAACCATGTATGAACGTTATTAAATTGTAGATAACAGGAACTGATGACTAGATAATGCTACAATGTCGAAATAACTTGCATGATTTGTTTACAGACATTAATAAACCATTAGATCCTATTTTACTACATTATCTTTTTCAGGGAACCCCATCATATCCTACAATGCTTGTGAGCCAATATTCATGTATCAAATAACTAAACTCGTGTCGGAAACAAGAAGTGCCAATTGACAAAATGCACGCAAAGAATGAAAACATAAAGGATAAATTCTACCTTCAATACCCGAGTGGAAAACCCCAAGCCCGAACCAGTAAAGATAGTTATTTAAAGGTGTGAGATCATATACATTGAGATACACCAAAGAGCCATTGCTTCCCCTGCTACTCTGCCCCCTTTTCAAACTCGAATTCGATGGAAACAACCACATTATGCCCTTAAATATCTAACTTTGATTCTTCAATCTATTTCACAAGCTCCTCATTCTCTGCATTAAACCAAGAAAACTAATATATGATGGATCGTACCAATAAGGAATCTAAGGTAATTTAGTATACAATTAAGTCTCCACTATTCAGCATAAAAAAACTTGAATGAAGCAGATAAATCCAGAAAGAAGAAATTCCCAATAACCAAATTAGGTTACAAAGCAAGACAAACTAATAATAACAGCTTTTGAGCGTTGGGATTTTTCCAAATAAACATTGAAAGACAGCAACACACAGCAAAAAAAATAAAAATAAAACTAAGCATAAAAGAAATCTTAAGAAAGAAAAGAGGTTGAATTTACCTTAGAAGAAGAGGAGGCCAGAGAGCTTAAAGGTAACAACGTTTGGGATAGTGATAAAAAAGAGAACGGATTTTCTTTTTGTTGGGGGTAACTCAAGTCTAGCAGCTCTCTTGTTTGTCTTTAGAAATGGAATGCACAGATAAAGTGAAGTTGAAGATCAATTTGTTGGTATAAATTGTAAAACAATTTAGAATTTAGAATCGTCAGTCTTTCAATGTTTCTGCGCCTTTTGGTCTCTTTCGATTTGACTTTAGGTTTCCAGAGATAATTTGTATTTTTTATTATGAGTGAAGGTAAAGTCTAAACTGTATTCTTCTTTTGGCTTATATATATATATATATATATATATATATATATATATATATATAAAATACTTGAGTTATATATTTTTTTCTCATTCAGCATTAAGATGTTTAAACTTTTTTCAATTAATTAACAAATATAATTTTATAAACTTATCATTTTTAGTGTCTCACTCAACCATAATGAACGTTAAAATTTGCTAAATAAAACGTGTCATATTTATATATTTTAAAAAATTTATTTTTTAAAAAAATTTAAAAATATTATTATCTTTAAAAAAAATCTAAAATTACAAAAAACCCAAAATCTCTAAAAATTCTTAAAATCATTCCTAAAATCTTTAATCCTAATTATCTCCCTCGTCGGTCACCAACGTTGTCGTTGTCTTTGTCATCTCCCTTGTTGGTCATTGTTGTTCTTGTCGTTGGGTTTGTTGGGTCTCGTAGTCATCATGATTTTTTAAAGTTTTTATTGACGTCAGGTTCTAAATTATGGGTCGTCAAGTTCATCTTGTTGCCAGGTGAAGGTTTGATGACAATGGCAGCAAACGTTGGTGATTGACATGAGTATAAAGATTGAAATTAGAATTTTCAAAGTTTTGGATTTTTTTAAAAGATTTTTGAAAATTTTGAGGATTTTTTAAAAATCAAATTTAGTTTTTTATTTTAAATGAAATTTTCTAAATGTGACACGTATCATTTAACAAACGGTTTTAACAATCTCTATGTCTAAAGTACATAAAATGATAAATTTCGTAACATTAGATTACTTATATCGGTCGAAAAAGATAAACACCTAATTAGAAAAATTTATAATATAAATATTTTTTTATCTTATGCCTATTCTTTTTGAAAAAAGAACGAGTATTTCATCATAGTATTAAAATTGATCGCAATGGATGACTTTTAAAATAACTAAAATGTACTTCAACAGATAAAAACGAATATTGAATATTTTTTTAAAATTTGACAAAAATAATCTTTTAGATAGTCTAAGGGGATAATAAGGTAATACATCTTTAAAATTTTTCTTAGCTATTAATACTGCGCGTGCTCTAATAGACGTTGCTTAAACCCATGATCTTTAGGAACAACAACACACTCTTTAATCACTAAAATCACTTAATGAGTCATTTGATAAAATTAATTTATATGTTAAAAATGAGAATATTTATGTCTTTTAAAATAAAAATTATTTATAGGTTATTATTGAAATTATGGTGGTTGTCATCCATGATTTTATAGTATGATTATATTTGTATGTCCATATTTGATTTTAATAAATTTTTATTTATAAATTTTTATAAATTAAATTAAATACATAAGAGAGTATCATTAATATTAGAATACTAAAATGTAGTTGTAAAAATATATAAATATAATATTTTGAAAATATTGTAATTTTTTAGGAATAAATCATATATATAGCAGTCACTGTGTTACGAAATCTGCATTCCTAACAATAAACAGTGAAATTTTTTAGCTCTTGTAATTCAATATAATACACAGTAATAAACAAGGCAAATGTGTGTTTAAATGATGGTATTAGCATTTAAGGGTCTTATTGACAACACATGGAGGATCTCCCTTTCTCTTTACACAATATCCAAACCCCTCAACTTAGCAAATCGGTTTCATAGGCTGCCTAGAAGAATATGACAGTCATTAAGGCCAGGTAGCTGCCTAAGACAATACCAGTGGAAAAGATTTCTTCGAGCTTCCAAGAGTCTGAAACTGTTGATAGCTTGACACGGTCTTTCGATAATGTCATAATGGTACCTGGAATGAACAAAATCATTGATCTGTAAATCAAGAAAGAAGAAAGACGGATCGAACAAGAAGATTATTCAATTAGCAACATTAAGAATAGCTATGATCAGGACCATGAAAGGAGGAAAATTCAACCTCCAGATTGTAGTGAGCAGCATGAACCTCAACTGCAAGAAAACCATTAAAACATAAACATTGGTGTTTTTCTTTTCCAAATCAAAAGGGGAAATAGCCAAAAGGAAATAGAAAAAAACTCACCACTATACGTATTGTGGTAGATATTGTATATACCTGGAAGAAAAAGGGAGAATAGAATCTGAGAAACTTGATAACGATTATGTTAATTTCACTCCCTTTGCTTATAAAATGAAATTCTCTTTTTTCTTAACCGTGTAGTTCTTAATTCTTTGGAAGATTGCACGGCTTGTAAAACAGCACTTATGATCACACTCAGACCAGGTTCTGTCAAAATAGTATCCGAAGCACTTCGAGCAACATGGGTGGAATCTGCAACCGCAATCCCTATTGTCTGTTATCTTCAATTCAGGGGCGTCGTTAACACCATCATCGGTCATTCCGACTATGTGCTTCTTCACAATCAACATTAAAAATGGAATCAAATGCATTAACATAAATCATAACTATAAGGCCCAGATATAATAGCAAATATATTTACCTAGCCTTCTTCGGGTCTCCTTACCAATTGCGAGTTGGTCACCTGGAAGCCAACATTATGGTTCTGATATCAATATTTGATCCCAAAGAATAAAGCTTAAACAGACACATTGCGCACCTGTTATCATCTTAAGTCTTAACACTAATACCGAGATTGTTATGTGCTTAAGAAGAACAGAAAAATAGGGAGGAGGAGGAGAATACATTAAGGAAAGGAAGAGCCAAATTCAGTGATTTTCTACCTCTCTCTATACAATTCTCACTATTTATCAGGAAAAAAAATAATAACAGAATTCTAATAAATGACGAACTCTATTAATGCACGTGGAGCATTTCTCTCTCTACGTAATTCCTAAACCTTCTCTGCGTTTTGGCTCGAGCTAGTTGCTTGGACTTCCCCTGCAGCTTGGCTATAACTGGTCCCCTGGTTGATAGCTTCCATGGTATTCTCAACATTACCTCCCCTAAAGAACGAACCCTCTTATCAAGGTTCGACATAGTCGTAGGCTCATCGATCGGATCAGACTCCTTGAACAATGGTAACGGAGTAATCTGCTGTAGTGGATACCCTTTGCAAAGCTTTAGTTGGAAAATGTGGAATACAAGATGAATGTGAGTGGAAGCTGGTAATTCCAGCTTGTAAGCCACATTGCCAACATGTGAATAACCTTGTATGGACCAAAAAACCTTGGACTGAGTTTCTGATTTTTATGTAGCCAGAAAGATAGTTGTCGATAAGGTTGCAATCGAACAAAAACCCAATCACCTTTGTCAAACTCCACTTCCTCACGTTTCTTATCAGCTTGGTTCTTCATGCGCTATTGGGCTTAGGACGGATTGTTCTTCAGCTCTCTTAATAAGTCATCTCGGTCCTAAAGAGCCTTATCGACTTGAGTATTAAGAGAACCACCTTCCATATAGGATACTATGGTGGGAGGGTCTCGACCATAAAGTGCTCGAAATGGGGTCATACCTGCCGATGATAACCTTCCCATTTACCCGGTTCGTCACCTATCATACAACGAAGGTACATCCAAGCATCAATTCAAGGCCTATGTTTGGTCATCGGTTTGCGAGTGATAGGCGGAGCTAAGACATAATTCAGTGCCTTTTAAACGAGCAATTTCAATTCATAGTTCACTCAAAAAGATGGAGTCCCTATCGCTCACAATGGATCGAGGAATGCCATGTAGTTTAACAATTCTTGAATCATTCCCATTCGACTTAGGCAGCCTAGTAATAAGTCAACAGAAATATCTTCAAATACCTATTGTGGAATGGGAAGGGTTGAAGGAGACCTACCGGAGCAAGGCTGTCGCTCTTCATCCTTAGCAAACTTGGTACTCGATGACAAATTTAAGAACGTGTTTATTTATCCCCGTCCAATAGAAATTGATGGACAATCGTCAAAATGTTCTGAGAATTCCAGCATGACCTCCAAGATTAGAACTGTGGAATTCTCGAAGTAGAAGAGATCGAAGGGCACTTTCATTTGGAACCACGACCCATCCGTGCAACAAAATCAGTTTCGATTGTTCACTGTACCCTTGAGCTGCTAAGTCCCCAGTGCGAATCTGTTCTCAGATGTGGCACAATTCAGAATCATGAATACTAGCCAGTGCGGATGTCATCTAAAATCCCAAATGTCGGCCGGGTCAAGGTCATCAATTGACAGTCTACCTCACGAGATAGAGCATCGGTGACTGTATTGAGCTTGCCAGGACGATATTTGATCTCGAAGTCCAAGCCAATCAACTTCGTTAACCATTTTTGTTGTTCCGGCGTTTGGATGACTTGTTGCGTCAATTCACAGAGGAATTTTTTTATCGGTAAATGTAATGATAATATATCTGCGGCCAAATAGGTATTGACTCCATTTCTCGACAGCTTGGGTAATGTCATACATTTCCCTATGATATGTGAAGGCTGCCTGCATTTGGTATCTCCTTGCCAATAGGAATGTTTATTCCCTTGGTTGAACTCAAATGTTAAGTCTCATGAAGTCCATCGTCACTGGCCCTCGTGTGGCAATCCATGCCACGCCCAAACGACTTCGGTTACCTTTTTTTTTTGGGAGGGGTTTGGTTCAAGTCATATTGGATTACCGGATAAATGGAATGTCATTCCCGCGTTTGGTTGACAAACATTCCCAACCCTGATAATAAGTTATTTCCAACAATGATATTTTGGGGGTATATTAGAAATGTGATTACCCCATTCCCTTAGGTATTGTTACATTCCTGGTGTTTTGAACTAAAATGCCTTTAAATTTTTTTTCTTTCAAAAATATCATTCTTCTATCGTTGAATAAAAAAATCGACAAAGATTAAATTATAAATTTATCCTTAAACTATTTTAGATTTACAAAAAAAAAATCCATAATTAGAATTTTATATGAAG